ATAATTTTTTTACCAATAATCTATCCATAAAAGTTATTTATACCAAAATATATATGCATACATGTTATAGTATGATTCATAAAATATTTAAATTACTGTTAAAAAAACTAAGATTATATTATTATTATGCAAGTAATGATAACTTCAAACACAACATAATTTGTGCAAAAATGCAAATGTAAATTTCAGAAGTAAATGAAAATATAATTGAACTGAGATGATTACATACCTAAGCTTCTTTAGGAAACTTAAAGACAATTTCATTAATAATGGAAATATCTCTGAAGTCATTTTTATATGTGCAGCTGGCGTCAAAGTATTAAAATGTTCTGCATGTGTATAGAAACAGTAAAAATTTACTTTTATTTTGCCAGTTGCTAACTCCTGCAGAAGTCAGTCAGATAATTCTCTCAAAAATAGACCTGCTTTGGCTTCTTTTAATTGTTTGTGGAGCAAAAGCTGTCTTAATTGAGAAACTTGAGCGACTTCCCTGTGTTTTCAGACCTATCTGAGGAGTTTAACACCAACTGTTATTTTGAATGATCAGTTCTACCCTTGCTAAGCTTTGTAATTTCTCATAGCTCTCTGAATTGTTGCACAGTACTTGACAATATGAACAGTTCCATTGGGGTTAGGTGACAAAGCACTTCTACATCTGGGGAGACTGTATTTGCTTACACTAAATAGGACAAAAACCCCGTGGAGAGAGCCAGGGTTTGAGAAAGGAAAGAGAACATGAATAAATTTAGTATTAGAATTTTCCTGAGTTTAATTAGTTACCGAATATGTATTTAGTTGATGTCATTTGATGCAAGGGTTGTAAATATTCTATAGCCTCTGCTTCTCTTGACAGCCAATGGGAAGGAATTGATAATACAGGATAGGAACTAAAAATTATTTTAAATTCCCTTTAATAAAGCCTGGTTCTCTAATAAAAAGAGAATGAACTTTCAAATTCAAATTTTTCTCTGTACTGTGATCATTTCAAAACTGATAAAAAATGTAAAAGGATTTATATTTTTTCTGCCATTTTTTTAGTTAAACTTTTTAAAAATGTATCTTGACTTTTTTATCTTTTTTGCCTTTATAGACAGGTGATAACATGTTATTTTTCAAATTCAATTGTATATAAATGATGTAGAAATATTAAATTAGTGCAGGAAACCAGATTCTATAGAGAACTCATTTCTGTTGCCATGCCAAAGAAAAATTCATGATTGTTTATAATTTTCAGAAGAACTGTGTTAAGATTTGTAAATCATGCTGTAAATATAGCTTTAAAGTACCTTAATTTATACATTTGTCCTTAAAAGCTTTTACTCGTTTGTAATCTAGATCTGCTTTCTCCTAATTCTGGAGTTTGAATTTCCAATAAATTATAAGGCAAGAGCCCATCCCACACTACAGTTTAAGGTTCTGTTGTTCTATTTGTGTATGCAGATTTAGGCAAAGAAAGTCTTACATTAACTTCGTAATTTGAGGTATAACTCTATTATTGAGTACACAGCCTTTCATTTTCCAAGTGGTAGTTTGCTTTCAGTCCCTACCTTGGTGTTCAGAAACCCTATGTTTGGTAAAATGCTGGTAAATTACAGATGATTTGATGTATATATCCTCTCATTTAAGAAAGGCAAGTCAAATTACAGATCCAGGCTTTGCCTCCTCCAAATCTTTTCCCTCTCACTTTAATGTAGTCTCAATGTGTGGAGTTTTTCTATTTCACACAATAATCTTCATGTTCACACAGTGTTAATAAGCCTCATAATAAGGGTTGTTATATCAAAATCTGCATTCAGAATTCAAAAACAAACTGACTTCATGTATATAAACTTTGTAAAACTTGCATCAATAGGTTTATTTTATGCCTCTTCCCTATACTTTTAAAGGTTATCTATAAAACCTCTCTTTGGCCAGTTTCGGTTTGCATGTTTTAGCCCAGGACTGTAATAACAGTTTAGCCATCAGTGTGACCTCTTTGCTCCTTTCCTCGGCCAAGTGATGTGAAACTCAGTCAGTACATGGGTAAGCCTTGACTCTGAGAACAGAAACATGTGAGGAAACGGGGAAATTCCATTCTGAGTTGATACAATGTAACTAAGGAAATACTTACCTTGGCAGAGGTAGCGGGGCACACAGAGCTCCTCATAGCACCTGTGAAATGTTAAAGGAAGGGGATTACTGACAATGCAAGCCAGAAAGAGCTTTTGCCCGAAATACTCAGATAATTCAAGTGTGATCTGCACTTGATTTTTTGTTGCTGGGGTATGTGGGGTGAGAATGGTCTTTATTGTTTAACCTAAGTAATAACCTCAACTTTTCTCACATTAGATTTGCCCTGGTACTTTGGTAGCTCTGTTTTTACCAATTTTTAACCCACAAAGATGAAGAAATCATATCTAGAATAATGATCCCTATGCTTATGATTTATGTAGTATTTTATTTGCAATTGAGAGTGTATGTTTGACATTCTTTTGCTTCTCCTTTTGCCTTGTGTTAAGAAATATGATTGAATATAAGCATTACCAGATGCCAACACCGACGCAGCCAAGTCACAAACTACTGAATGCTCTTAAAACAGTGTTGCAGCAGCACTAGGATATCACAGAAATATGGAAAGGCATATCATATATCAAAGTTGGCTGTTTTATAAAAGGGCATTTATTCTTCAAGACTTATTCCAAAACGTGTTAGGCCTTTGGACAGTCAATGTGATGTTATGGCACAGTCTGTGTTCTCTTGTGCTCTTTACCCTAATGAAGCATGACTGGATAGCACGGGGACATACGAGCCTAGTTCACCTTTGCTTTTGTTTTTAAAAACATGTATTATCTGATTAAATTAATAAAATATTGTGATTTTTAAACTCTTGTTAAAGGAGTTCAATACCAGCCTGAGCAACATAGTGAGACCCCATCTCTATTAAAAACAAGTAAAATGCTAAATAAATGCCTTGATTGTAAATATTGAGGAAAAGAATGGAACAAAAGGAAGTATCAAAACAAATTCATGTTATGCTGACTTTCAGCAGAGGCTTTTCATCTTAAAGACAGTAAAATTCCAGTTTATTAGCATTTTAGCAACCTTTGTTAAATTTCCTCTTCTCATTCCATAATCTATATAAACAGCTCTATCTATGCACTCAGCTTCTCTTCAGTGTAACTATACACTTTTCTGGGGCTTAAATTATATACTCATTAACTACCAACTATCAAGTGGGTTTGGGTTTCCTGAAAAGCTTGCAGGTCATTACCCTGTGAGAAATCATTGCATTCAAGCCTTGGCTTCCCCACTTATCCTTGCAGCTTCTAATCGGTTGGATATCTATGCCGATCGATCTATTCCCAATTGGCCTCCCTTAAGTCTGAAATAATGTATTATAATCTGAGGCTTCAACAAGGTGGTACACTCCAAAAAGCAAGTTCGGTTTCTTATAAGGTTAAGAAATTGAGAAATACAAAACTAAATTTTGCCAATTGGAAATTTATTTTTTTGTTGATTTTAGAACATCTGTATAGGATTAAGTAATGTCTGATTGATATGTGTGTTGTAGCCATTAATATTTATCTGGTATTAAGTAATTTTTATATATTTTTTTTACTTTTAATTTTGGACACAGTGCATTCAGCAAGGCATTATTTTCTTTTCTAGAATGTGATAAGTAATTCAATATAGATTAAATGATTGCAATACAAAATGCTAGGCCAGACATAGTGGCCCACTCCTGAAATCCCAGACTTTGGGAGGCTGAGGTGGGCAGTTTGCTTGAGCCTAGGAGTTCAACACCAGCCTGAGTAACACAGTGAGACCCCATCTCTATAGAAAACAAACAAAATGCTAAATAAATACCGTGATTAGAAATATTGAGGAAAGCAATAGAACAAAAGGAAGTATCACAACAAATTCATTAAGTATCCTCATATAATACAAAGAATATGTTATCTAGTAAATTATAATATAATTATTGGAAATAACATATTAATCAATTATATTACAATATCATTGCATGTATATTGTTTCTGGTCATGGTTTATGTAAAACTATAGTTCTGCAAAGATGATCCTAATTACCTATGATGTAATCTTTTATATCTCCTAATATTAATTGATTATGTGGCTTGGAGTTACTGTGGAAACCAAACATACCTTCCTTTTGATTTTCATCGAGACATTGCTATATCCCCTCGCTAAGTTTCTGCTTTCTTTAGCAAAAGCAGTTAAAGAAAGTGGCAAGAATAAAATTCTGGTAGCTCCATCAGGTGAATTTATGAAGATGTAATATTTTGAAATCGGTAATTGCATCCAAAATTATCAAGGGTCAAATAACAAGGGTTGACATGACCCAGATATTTCCAGTAACCTTTATTTCCCTATGCCTTTTCATATTCTTCTTCCTTAGTGTCTTATTGAATCCAGGTCTGGTAGAGTTGTAAATGAGAAGAAACTCAGAGTGAAAATACAAGTTATGAGTATGCTTCAAGCTAGAATTAAAACAATTTGATTTAATTTGAAATTGTAGAATAAACTATTTTTGCTGTAGTTTCAACTTTGTCACACTTGTTTGACATGACTAAATCACCTCACATTGGAAGCCAATCTACACATTAAATGCCATGATTCTATTAAATACTATAGAAATAATCTGCAGAGTACTTCTACCTGAGACACATACTGAATGTACGTATTTTAACATCATTAACATCATTCTTGGTTTTTGAATATTAAAAAGATTTAACTTTCTACTTTGTGAATGTATCACAAATGAAATGGGTAATTTTCTTTGAAAGTGCATGAGTTGGAAAGCTAAAATAGAGGTGAAAAAGAGAACTATTCACAAATCATTTTCTTCTTATATGACTTATCTATTTTTTAGGTATTTCATGGAAAGATTTCAGTGAAATTATTCACTCAGAATTGTAATAGTTTGATTCATTTTTCTTATTAAAATTTGTCAAATTATAAATATATATATATATATATATTTTCTTCTTCTTCTTCTTCTAGCAATGGTTGTTTTGAGCAACCTGGAACCAAATACAACTTATGAAATCAGGGTTGCAGCTGTAAATGGAAAGGGACAAGGAGACTACAGTAAAATAGAAATCTTCCAAACGTTACCAGTCCGTAAGTAATCATCTCTATCTTTTATTCTCTTCTGTCATTTTCTCTACTTGCAAATGTAATAGATTTTAAAATGTGGGGAGATGTTTCAACACTTTTGGGACATGAATTGTGTCTTTGGTGAAGTGGTTTTTGAAGACAGTGACATCTCAGATTTATTAATATAAAAATAACTTTGCTTTAGAGCGAGGCAAAAAAAAGAGTGCACTAGAATACACCCAGTAAAAATTGTTCCCGGGAAATTGTCCTCATTGCAAAAGTGATTAATTGGATTGTAGTCTTTGACTATATTCTGGGAGAGAGAAAAAAAAACGTCTACGTAACATGTTCAATATTTTGTTCTTTTGTGGAGGCCTGACTATTGACCTTGTTCCACAAATTATATGGGCTTTAAGTGTCAAAAAAGGAATTATTATGTTAATTCATTACAACAGTGACTGCAGGAGAAGACTTGTTCTGGTAACTATCATGTTTTGAGGAATTGTAAGTTAATTGAGTTTACTTAAAGTGAAGATTAAATTTTAAAAGACTTAACATTTCCTTTATGTTAAATAAATTACTTTAAATGTGAGAAAACATAATAAATATGACCGAACCACTGTTATAAAAATCTATGCATAACACTACCTGACATATATATATGTGTGTGTGTGTGTGTGTGTATGTGTATATATACATGTATATACACACACACATATAAAGACAGTCAAAATGGCCGCAATATATTATCTTACAGAGTGTCTCTCTGTTGGTAATCATAAAATCTGTCTGGTAAGTTTCTTTTCTCCATGCCCAATGCTCGTGGTTAAGATAACCTGCCCGATAGGGTGGCTGACACCTGTAATCCCAGCATTTTGGAAGGCTGAGGCAGGCAGATCACTTGAACCAAGAAGCTCAAGACCAGCCTGGGCAACACAGTAAAACCCTGTCTCTACAAAAAATAATTAAAAAAAAAAAATCAGCTGGGTGTGGTGGTATACACTTGTAGTCCCAGCTACTTGGGAGGCTGAGGTGAGAGGTGAGAAGATCACCCGAGTCTGGGGAGGTCAAGGCTGAAATGAGCCGTGATCACACTATGGAACTCCAGCCTGGGCGACAGAGTGAGACCCTGCCTCAGAAAAAGAATAAAGAAAATAAGAAAAGAAAAAAGAAATGACAAGATCCTGCTGAGAAGAAATAACAGGTCATTCTGGTTTAGAGATATGAAATCCTTTTCGGTCCGTGGTCTTTGTTTCTCTTGGCCCTTCACATAGAAAATTATTGCACTTTGGTAGATCCCTGTTCTATTCAGAACAATATAAGCATCATTGTTATACGGCTATCTCTATGTTGAAGAATAATATCAAATGAAACTAGAAGAAAATGAAATATTGAATCACAGGTCTGTAAAATTGGATACTGCAAATTTTATTCAAATTTGCACCCAGGAAGGAAAATGCTTATTAAAGCAGATTAATTGCAAGTCAGTATCTTTCCTGGTAGGTATATATTCCATACAGATTGATGTGTTAATGTATTCTTATTAATAAATGCTTACAAAACACTTATAAACTAAATTTACATTAAGAAAATAAACATGATTTAATACTATTAATAATAAGAGAAATAAAGTTTTACATTTGTGCAATGCTGTACTTTTCTTAGAGTATTTGCATATCAGTGAAAATAATATATTTGGTCCTGAGGCCACAGTTTTGGCATGACACTTCTAGATTTATAATGTTGCTCCTTCTTGGATGGGGAAAATGAGGATCAGAAATTATAACACAACAGGGCAATATCAAATGATAAATCCAGGGTAACACCATATATTTTGATTACATTACTGTTCTTTTTATTAAAACATAGTTTCTCTAGGTATCTGAAATGTGTGCAAATGAAGAAATGTTGTATTGCATATCTAGGTGAGCCAAGTCCTCCATCCATACATGGACAGCCAAGCAGTGGAAAGAGCTTTAAACTCAGCATCACCAAACAGGACGATGGAGGGGCCCCTATTTTGGAATACATTGTGAAATATAGAAGTGTAAGTACCTTGTTTATTATCATATCATACTAGGTTTTTTCAAATTAAATTGAGTTGCACTGAATTTATAAACATATCAGGAGAGAATGTGTATTTAGTAATTGTGATAATAAGAGCTAATCTTCCTTCCATTCCTGATAGTCATCATTGTGATTTTTTAAAATTGTATTGTAAAATCTAAGCATGGATCGTCAAAATATTCTCATGGTTTTCATCTTGTGATTTTTAGGTGTGAAATGGGACTAGGCAACTTTTCAGAAATGAGATATTATTTCCCCTGTTTTGCTGATAAGCTTCTCATTTTATCTGATATTAGTAACTTCAGGCTAAGCCCGTCAGTCATATGTTAGGTAGTATTATTAGAAAAATCACACCTCAAAATAAATTAATCAAATAATTTGACTTATTTAGCCATAACGTTTAACAAAGAATGGCCACGGTGAACTTGAGGAAGAGGGAATCGTTTTCTTCAAGTTTAATTAGCGCTATCTAGTAAGGAAGTTTGGAGAGCTAAAAACTGCACACAGATTTTTGATAGCGGTTGGAGGGAAACAATATTCACTAGTTGCAGAGTCATAGAGTGGCACTATGGGCACTGCCTTTTTGCCTTCAGTAAAGATGATTTCAAAGGCCACTGAAAATAATTTCTTCAAAATTTTTTTCCATACGTACCTTGGAGTATTGGCGTCTACTGTAAAATATGTTAAAAATGAAACATGATTTTAAGTTAAATTTTCTAAGATTTATACAACATGCATTTTATGCTTATGTTGACTGAATCCATATTAGTGCTTTCCAAATTAATTATACTTTACCAGATTGTGTTTAAAATAATTGCTCCATAGTAGTGTATGGGTTAATTTTCAATATTTTCTCACAAATCCCCAATTTTCTAAATTATAATATTGCTGCTTCTAAATTCAAACATCTACATTCTGAGGAGTAATAAAAAATAAAATTGGATTTTTGAATGGCATATTTTAATAATTAATTTTAGATATCAAATCATTTTTTAAAATTTTAAAAATTAATACTCGTTTCAGAGGACAAGTGTTTGTCCCAGCTTTCATACTCAAGTGAGTTCTCTTGGCCGTTCTCATTTGCACATTTGGAAACTCGGTAGAAGGAAGATCATTTTTTCTAGGGATGTAGGCTTGGCCAGAATTCATGAATTGGACTGGTAGAACAGGCTTTCCGTGCAGATTGTTGCTCACAATTCTAGGATGAAAAAACTTATTGTACAAAATACTGGGGATAGTAACAGTTTGTAAGGAATTCTAATAAATCCCACAGTGGACTCTGAAATGCAATGACTAGTTGTGAAACAACGTGTTGTATATTTTTAATTGTACTATATTGTTAGTAGTGGCCCCAGTCGTTGATGTAAACAAAAATATTTCTTGAGTAGCACTACATCTATTTAGAGCAAAGTAGAGTCACCAAATGGAAATAATGACATTTTAGACAGCCATATATTTATGTAGACATATACATAGTTTAAAACGTAAATTACTATTTTAAAAATCTGACTTCAAATTCGTATTGATTTCTTTAAATGTGGACTAGAATTAATATTTTTGAGAAGTTATGTGTGAAACACAGATGGATAGAAATAAGTACGATTTTAAGCACAATAAGATTAGTAAGATTGAAGGGACTCAAGTTCATATAATGGTACTCAATAAATTTTACCTTTGCATATAGTTGGTAAGTTATAGTTGATATGGCTTAGTCATAAAGTTTAAACAAGAACAAATTTTGTCTCCAGTAAACTTATACCTTCCGTTTTCTCTCCTTTCTCTTTCTCCTCCCAACCTAATGGTAAATGTGCCTGGTTGGTTCCCATTTCCCCAATGTCTGCGCTTACCACTCTGATAAAAGTATGTCCTTTTCCCTCCTCTTGTTTCTAATTTCCAACCCTTTCTAACTCCAGAAGTACTAGAGGATCTGTTTTTCATAACACATTGGAAATGATTGATTGTATTAGTTCATACATAACTATAATTGTCTGATCAATTACTAAGTTATCCACCTTAGAGCTACTTTCATTTTAACAGGGGACGTTGTTTTAATAGTAGAAATTTAGGCACCTATGGCAAATTTTATAAAAGGAGGGTTCCGTATCCTTTATATTACGAGATAGGCATTGCTCACTCTTGGATATTTTGTATTTTGTAATTAATCAAATATAAAGTGATACTTTTTCACATTTTTTCAAGGACAACATTGAAGAATTTGAGTGGCTTGTATTCAAATAAAATGAGAAGCTTGTCAGCAAAACAGGAAAACTAGAGAATTTGAGTGACTTGGTGGGGAGAGGGAACAGACATCAGAATGTAATTCATAACGGTCTAAACATGGATGGCAGCAGTACTGGACAAGAGGCAACCCCTCTACCACTGTCTCATCTCAGATCAACTGCCCAGCTCCTAAGGCTTCAGATAGAGCCATCCTGGCACAGTTTCTCTTGACCATATCACTTGATAGTATGCTTTCTAGTTTCATCCATTAAAATATTCTATATATCCCTGTTTTGTCATCGTCTCTTCTCTTCTCCACCTCCTCCATCCTGTCAACATCGTGCTCTGAGGATCCAATTGCAGATACCATGATTGAATAAAAAGTGAAATAACTACTTCAAAAAAGTTCTTGATCATCTGTTCTTTTCATATGATATCTATTAGGTTCTCAAACTACATGAACTCTACAGTGTAGTAAAGTGCAGCTGAATAACTTGAAAAATGGTTTAGACATATTCAATATATTTTTAATAAAAAATGAAGAAAAAAGTACATAGAGGAATCTCGAAAATAAGGAACATCTCTAAGATTTTCACTTCTTGATTTTCTTCTTTGGCCACCTCTTTCAACTCCACTGTGCACAGGGCTATATTCTGAGAACAATGTACTTCTGACAATATATTCCTTATATGACTTGATTTCTAGCAAACACTGAATCTAAGCCTTTAATTTGGGTTTCACTGGGAAAGGACAAGAATAGCTATATCCTACTATAGAAAGTGTAAAACTTCCCATAGATTATGAACCAGGAAGCACCATTATTCTGTCAACCTGTAATACAGCACATGGCTTTGTTCACTCACCCATTATGAAGACAGAATTTATTAGAACAGAACTAGAGTAATAAAAGCAGAATTAGATATCTCTGTGGACTCTTCATGAAAATTAATGTCTCTAACAATAAATCAGTAAGTTTAAACCATGCGTTTGGAAAGTAAAGACAAACATATTAATCTCATGAAATGTTTGGAAAAAATCATGAAGTTATTTTTAAGTCTACTTTGTACTTATAGTGTCAATCTAACTTCATATAATTTAGTAAATAGATTTTTACATGCTTCCATGAGCTTTTCACCATTTTATTTCTAATTTGATGATAGCTATGGGATCATACCTATCACTTAGTGTTGGCATATTAAATACGTTTCCTTAGCTAAAATAATTGATAGCTAAAATCAATTGTGAGGAAGTACTATAGGGACTAGCATTTGTAAGTCTTAATTGAACTTTTTAAGTAATTTGGAGTCCAGGAGGTTGTACACTATCTCAGTGTCCACAGGATAAGAAAGGTAATTTTGAAAACGGCATTAAAATAATAAATAAGTAAAATGAAGCTTTGGTTCTTAAGAAAACGTATTTTCCAGTTAATAATGTTTATGTATGTACATGGAAATGTATTTAAAGCCATTATAGTTTAAGTTTTGAAGTATTTTTAAACAATAAATACTTATGGACATTAAAGAGTATCAAGCATTTTAGTAGTTTTTCTTTGCTGTGAGTTAAGAGAATGAGTTTTGTTTTTGCTTGTATGTATACGTTATCTGAATGAACAAATACAGCAATAAATCAATAAATAAATTAGCTCATTATGTAATTATATTATAAATAGTATTATAAATCGAATAATTAATATGGGAGACAAGAAACACAAGAAGAAATGCACTGCCAATGTTTATAGGTATGAGAACACAGAAAGTAATGAATAGGAAAAATTAGATTTATTTTGCCTTAAGTACTATGTGGGTGGTGGAGACTAGGAACAGATTATGTAGGACCTAATTTAAAAAAAAATTTACCAAGCATCAGCACATGGAACAAAGGCAAGTAGAATTTGTTATGATCATGGAAAAAAGAGATTTAAATTTAGAACTGCTAAAATCTTCAAACCTTTAAATCTTCCAAATGTGTGTGTGTGGTGTATATATATATGGTGTGTATATATATGTTGTGTATATATATATACACCACACACACACATTTGGATATATATATAATTTTGTATACAATTTGATGTTTTAAGCTGAAGATTAATATCCTTATCAAAGGACAACTTTTTGTCCCAGGTTCCATGCTAACAATGATGAGTACCTGTTTGTTTCTTTTGGATATTCTGATATGGAGATTTTTGTGCCTCTACCCAGGACAGCTCTGAAGGACTCACTGGTCTCGCGATGAATCTGACAGTGCCATGCTATTCAAGCCAGGTCCCTTGGCCCTTCTCGTTTGCCCATTTGTATTCTTCTTGAATTCTGTAAACGGTCTCTCTCTCTGTGTGTATGTGTGTATATATGTATATGTACACATATACACATGTGTATATGTATATATATATTAATATATGCTTGTTTGTCCATATATACAATTATATATATAAGGTATATGTGTAGATATATATTTTTTATATATATAAAATCCAGATTGATCAGTCACCTCTCTGACATTCAGAGTAGCAAATGGAGTTTTAAATGCTATCTGGGCCTTCTGTGAGGTCATGTAAGTATGAATACCTGAACCATGCCACCAGGGAATCCAGGAACCGGGACCTGCTTTATATACATACAAAATCTTAAATCATACGACATGGGAATCAGAGGAATCTATGCTTCATCTCGCTTATATGAGCTCACCTTCTCTATTGTCCTCTCATTTTAAAATTATTCAGTTTATATTTAAAATGATGTTGGTGATACACTTCATGAGACTTCAAAAGGAGTCAGTAAACTGTTTCTTGTTATGAATAAAAGCATCAAGGAGCCCCTGAAAATAAGAAAATAGAGACCCTTACACCTTGCCTCTAATCTCCTCCCTGTACAGATGATAGCCAATATTTTCCTAGATGCTGATAGTATGACTTCAGAATCACTATTAAGAAGTGCCCTGAATTGCCATGTGGCCCGCTATTTTCTGACCAAAAAAAAAAAAAAAAAAAAAAGAATTGCTTAAGAGAAGCTATACCAAAGCCAAATGACCATTTTTTTTCAGTAGCTGCCCTTCAACATTTAATTGGCTTATTAATAATGGCCATATTCAGCAAATCATCTCATTAAGTTACCTAGGGGAACGTTTTGCAACTAGATTATCTTAAATTGTTCCCTAGGCATTTAAACTTTGTAAATTAGACAGTCTACAGATATGCATACTTGAGATTTTGATGCCAGGGGAGTATTTGGTAACACCCACTTTAATTTTTTTCCTATTCCCTAGGAATAGCAATTAGGGGATTAAAATGCCTTCTTGCCTAATGTTGAAAGGAAAATGAAACTGATTTATATTGGGAACATGTTAGAGCTCCCTTTGGTTTCTTATACTATCAGCCCAAATACTTAGAATGATGGAGGGCCCTTTAATTTATCATCTTATGGGCTTCAACAATTAAGAGCTAAATGATTGTTAATTTACAAGAGACTGTCTTGTGTTTGTACAGAAGTTTCACCTTAAATGCCTAATTTCCAAAAATGATATTTTTGAAGTATTACCTGAAGGACATGACATCTATCTATTCCTCTAAAGAATACATTTTTTTTTTTTTTTGGCCTGGAGTAATTCATATCTCAGTTTTTGGCTTATTTTCTGGCTCTTTCACCCACATCTTCACTCAGATACAAAGCAAAACTGAATTCCAAGTATTTCCATGAAAATACTTACTCACATCAACCACTTCATCGTTACATAGAAAGTACTGAATAACTGAGGTAATGCCAGGGCCACAGGGACATGCAGCTGTCTGCTGCCTCATGGATCCCTTGTCTTCATACCACCCTTCCGTGTCCTTGCCATACACCCCTTCCTTGCCATATATGTGTGTGTATATACACAATTTATAACTTATAAAAATACATGCTATAGGTATATATGTGCATATTCATACTGAATATGCTATAGGTAGCATATACAATTATATGTTATGTTTGTGTGTGTGTATATACATATACACATACATCTAATGTATCATCTCAAATTACTTTTGGGTTAACTTTTTAGGCTTTTTTGTTATATATGAGTATATATAACACATATATAATACATTATAATGCATATATAATGCACATATAGATACACAATTTTTAAAAATTTATTTGAAACAACTACAGTGTTTGCTTATACATCTCTCAGTGATTATGCATCTAAGGCTTAAAATCGTTGTGTTTCTTTTTGGATTTAAAGCTGTGTAAAAAACTGACACCTTCTTGTCATTAACTCAGGATAAATGAAAAGAAAAATGGCGCTAGCATGTATTATTTCCAGTAAGGGTGATATCACCTCCCCACCGGTGACCTGCCTAGCCCTTGACTTTATTAGGTATTACATGCCTCCATTGCACCTTCTCATTTTTCAAAGGCCTCATGTTTTTCTTCTGGGCTGGTTTGTAAACTCCAACATGAGGGTACTGCACATGTCTTGGTCACTTGTGTTCACGCCTTCTAGAAAGTCCTCACTAATCAATTAACTGAGTAAATGATTGATGAATGAGTGGGCGAAGACAGAGGGTGTTGTGATATCTGTGGCTTTTTAGTATAGCTGCCCTAAGCATTTCAAAATTGCAACTAGGTTTGTTTCTCAACCTTACTGTTCATTGATAAACTTAGAAAAGTTACAACCTCTCTTCTCAGTTATTCCATCATTCGTACACCTCATAATATCTTAAGCAGTACTGGCTACAGGCCATTTTTATAAAAACAGATATTCAAAAGTTTCAAAAATCAAGGCAAGTGCCTCTTGTGTATATTGATAACCTGTACTGCTTGTTCATTTAAAACCAGGGCTTCGTTAGGGGTTCTAATAGCTTCAGTTTTACATGAAATAGCAAAATAGGCCAAACTTTTCTGTTCCTTTGTAATGGAAGTTCTACATCACCAACAAGTTTATTTCCTTTGTAATGAAAGTTCTACGTCACCAAAGAAATAATTAACTAGAAAAGGAGAATAATAGTGTGGTATCAAAATTATAATATCTTCTTGCCTTCTTTTGAAGGACACTCCATGTTTGAGTACTGTCCATTGAATGCAATCATGAATTTAACTTTCACAATTTTATTTTAGAGAACAAATAATTGTCATCAAAAATGGAGAAAACATTGCTTTTTTTGTAGTCAAAAAAGCAGTGTGAAGTTTTGGCTCAACATAGAATAATATAGGACTGAGCTATGAGGTTAAAAGACATGTCTGCATCTGTTGTTCTAGACAGGCTGTAATTTATCTATACTTATACCCTGCGAAAGTACGATTTGCAGTTGCAACGATAGATTATTGGATACATGATTCCAGAGAAAATGTTTCATTTCCATACAGTTTTTATGGAAACAGTTATATCCTAAAATAGCTGTTATTTGTTTAAGTGGTTATGATCTCTAAGGCCCTGAAATACACAACCTACTCAATTTTCCTCATTGCTCTCCCAAAAAGCTGACAGAAGCAGCTGCTACTATCCCTTTTGTTATAAAGAGGAGGAAGACAAGCCAGAAAGGTTAAGGAAGCCTTCTGTGTTGAAATTGTTAATGTATGGCCCAACCCAGTAATCGCTCTGTTTTAGAAAATTTCATTTATAAAATTATATCCATTTATATTTCATTAGTAATTGTAGTTCTAATGGTAATTTTATCAAGCAAAGGGAAATTCAAATGTCATATGGTCAAATTTATATTTTAGAAAAGCAGCGAGATAGTATTTAAGTGTAGAATGTTCGAGAATGGGATGGCATTGTTTTATTTTCTTTTGCTAATGATATATTTAAAACTTAGTAATTTTCTTTGTATATTATTTTCTTATGTCATAAAACATGATAGTAGTAAAAAATACCAGTGATAATTTAAATCTATCAATCATATCCAGACTTTATTTCAAGACACTTTATCTTTCTTCCCCCCAAAAAACTTTAACAATAGTCCCTGGCAATTCTTTTAAAGGACATATTAAGTTTTTTCTGTATATCATGTTTCATTTTCCCATTCACATAAAGATTAATAATCAACAAAATGGCCAAAAAGCAAACTGCTATATGTGAAATAAAAAAATCTTAATGGAGGTCAATTGTCAACCACTGAACAAAGGATGAATTACAAAACCACTTTTTGGCTAATATAAACAACATCGTATTTTATATAGAAAAATGTTAGAAATAATACTGACTTCATTGACACAGCAACTTCATGTATTTCTGTGCCTATCAAACTTGTTCCAGTATCCAAAATAAGTATAATGTTCCAATTCCAATATAAATTATTTTTCTAAAAAGGTGCAACTTTAGCGTATGGATATTTACAAAATGCATTTTTATTGCTTTCACAGAAAGATAAGGAAGACCAATGGCTAGAGAAAAAAGTACAGGGAAATAAAGACCACATCATTTTGGAGCATCTCCAGTGGACCATGGGGTATGAAGTTCAGATTACAGCTGCCAATAGGTTGGGATATTCCGAACCAACAGTTTATGAATTCAGCATGCCACCAAAGCCCAACATTATTAAAGGTAAGCAAAACGATATTCTTTTTAGACTGAGCAATAAACATGATACCACCTTTTTATAACCCTTATTGACTTTTCTTATTAATAATTAAAACCAACTGAAATGTAAATTCCAGGTTCTAATTATTAGTGTGACGTATCATACACAAAGTTTCTCATCGCTCTTGCCATAGGGTAGTGCTTAATTTGCAAATATATTTTGACCCCATTCATAGCTGGAGTGGTGGGGAACGAATGAGTAGGAGAACATAGAGAGTAAAAGTGACTGATGATAGTCAATGTGAAAAGTGTCTATTGAGACCATATGAAAGCTTTACTAAGAAGACAATTTCTCTGCCAATCATGTGGAGACTGGTGCTCCAATTCTTGTTAGATTTGAGCCAACCTGTGCCTGACCAAGCTGGTTGATTTTGGAAACATAAAATTAGTCACAAAGAAAGGCAGGAACAGCCACAAATATAATTCCATAAAGACCTATACCTAGAGTTTTAAGAAGGCTCATAAAATGGAAGAACACTGTAAATCAGCTTTTGCAACACACTGGTTAGATTCTACCATTGATAGGTAACAACGCTTACATTGTTACATCTTAGTATGTTAGTAACATTATGAAAGTTCACAACAGGGATATTAAACTTTTATTCAGATAAATGCTCTTGAAGTAAAGATAAAAAATTTATTCTGACTCAAAATAACACTTAACTCTGTTCATGAGTTGCCAAATTGTTCATATTTCTACGTTTATTTTCCCTGTTATTACTTTTAATATTTTAATTTTATGCAGACATGTACAGATATTTATGTATCTATAGTATATTCTATATTTGTACATATATGCAGAAAAGAGCAGCATATTAATCCATGAAACCAAGATTTATTTGTCTTATTATATTAGAGTATAAGTATAGATATATAATATTTTTGAAACAGGAAAAGAAATAAAACTAGCTAGTTCAATCATGTTATTAAACCCTCTTGTAATTTCAAATTGATGTTAATTTTATATATTATGATTTTGTTATATCATACATCAGTTGTTTAGTAATTGAAAGCAGTTTTATATGACTAATCTTTCAATTAAAAAGTAATTACCATTGGTTATAAGGTTTAAAAGTAATTGATATTAGAGCTTTGTATTGCTAATATTAATTCATAAATTCTACCAAATTATAATTTAAAATTAGGAAGTAAAAAGTCTCTGGAAATAACATGGGTATCTTATATTTTAATGACTTTTTTATTATTTTCAAAGCACTTCCGCATTAATTATCTCATTTTATTCTTAAATCTGAGCTGGATAAGGAAGCATTATTCTCATTTTACAAATATGATTTTAAGAGGTTGAATGACATGTTTGAGGCCAGAAATACTTCTAGTTATATGACAAATCTGATGCCCTTACAAGATAACACATCTAAATAAGAATGACTGAATGTACAATCGAGTTCATTACATCTCTATATTTGAAACATCAGAAACTACTTCTACAATTGTAATGAGTATGTAAGTAGTAATTATATTTCATGCAAATATCAGGAACATGCTATACATGTTCCCATACTGAGCCAGAGCCTCCTCCAAAGGAAAATTGCAACAGTATACTACAATCTCCCACATTTTTAATTTAGTGTATATATTTGGAAACATAATGAATTAACTTAATTCATTTAATTTAATAATGCATTAAATTTAATATTATATGAAGTAGATAACATAGATAAAACATGAAATCAAAAGATAGATTTTACACAGATTACTAAATGTTACACCGCCAGTGACTCTGCTATCTTTATGAGAAAATGTTGGCCCAGGGCGCGGTGGCTCACGCCTGTAATCCCAGCACTTTGGGAGGCCGAGGCAGGTGTATCATGAGGTCAGAAGATGGAGACCATCCTGGCTAACACGGTGAAACCCCGTCTCTACTGAAAATACAAAAAACTAGCCGGGCGTGGTGGCGGCGCCTGTAGTCCCAGCTACTCGGGAGGCTGAGGCAGGAGAATGGCGGGAACCCGGGAGGCGGAGCTTGCAGTGAGCCGAGATGGCGCCACTGCGCTCCAGCCTGGGGGACAGAGCCAGACTCCGTCTCAAAATAATAATAATAATAATAATAATAATAATAATTGTTGATGATAAAAACCAACAATACATATAAACAAAAGGTGGAAAAAGTTAAAAGGTAATAAAAACAGATATGAAGGCACCAAAGTAACCAAGACATGCTGTGATTCATTTCCTCTCTCTCTCTATATATGTATTTTTTTCAATTTGAGAAACTCGTGTCCTGAGAGCTTGTAGGCAAGACCTGGAAAGAAAGTGGACAGAATTCTGGTTTATATTCCCAGATTTGTTTCTGTCACATAACTTGTCAAAATAACTGTTTCCTTATCTCTAAAATGAGTTTCTTCTGGTTCTGCAATGTTAAGATGTGTTTGTTAATTTAAGAATTGTTTATTGGAGTACTTCTTTGTGACAAACGCTTGAATGAGTACAAAGGATTTAAGGATTTATCTGTGAAACATACAGAACTGACCCCTGTCCCCCAAAATCTCCACAATCTATTAGGGAAAGACAGATATTCAACATGAGTTAGAATAACAAATAACTGCAACTAAGAGAGATTTTTCTTAGAAAGTGAGTTTCCAAAGGAAACGTGCAGGAATGAACTTTCCAGGGAAAATGTGTTACATGGAAGGTATCTCTGAGACAAGAAAGAGCATGATCTGATCTAGGAGCTGGGAAAGGCACGTCTAGAAGAGAACCTGGAAGTGTGTGACTGAAGATAAGGTCAGAGAGGGAATGCAAACCAGATAATTCAAGGGCTTCTAAAAACATAATTGTACAACATCTTCCAAAAGGAGTAAATAATTGTAAGCAGAAAAGTTGTATGAAAAGATAGGTATTATAAATAGATTATTATTTCTCATATGGGTAGGAGCAACTGATGGATGAACAGCGGTAGAAAACAAAGAGAGAACGAAAAATTCCCGACACATTGTAAGTGTAGACTAATCCTCCCATTGCAATAGATTGGATTCAGTCAGTAATGACTTTTAGGTTCCTTGCTTGGGCACCTAGAGCATTGCTGATGTCATTTCTCAAGGTGAAGAATTTTGTAGGAGAAGCAAGATTTGAAGAATGAGGGTCAAACATCAGATCCATTTGGTATTTGTTAAATTTGAAATATCAAATTGTTGGTTAGATATGTGGGTATGGAAATGAGAAGATAACCATGGCTTGGAAACATACCCCATGATGCTGTCAGTGTTAACAGGTGAATGGTATTTGAGTGAGGATAAACCCATCTAAGCAGTGCCTAAAATCTCTGAAGAGGGGTTGATGTCTGTAGTACTCGTTTATGTTTGCTAGTAACTAGAAGGGTGACTGGCACAGCATTGATTTCCAAAGAATATTTCTCGAATTACTGAAGAGTAGAAAGAAGTTAAGAACTGAGTCCCAAGGAACTATAATATTATACTGGAAGAAGAAACCAGACCACTCCACCCCCCATCATGAGACTAACACTTTACAGACTTACTGGCAAAACACGAGCGTAGTATCTTGGAAGTTAAAAAAGGGTCATATTTCAAAAAGAATACATGTAAAGTGTCCAATGCTGCCAAAAGGTGAATGGCACTGAACCAGAACAGATGTGAAGTATCCCTATCACATGCTGCTTTGCTGACGTCATTGGGAGAGAAATTAGGTACAAGTGGGCAGAGGATTGTATGTGAAGTTAGGGAGTTTAGACTCCATATTTACTTAATGCTTTCAGGAAGTTTTTCTAAGGTGAGCAGAGGAAAGGCCAGTGTTAGAAGGTCTTTTATGATGAAAAATGCTAGATGAAACAAATCAAGTAGTCATGGAGAAATCACACCTACAGACACACAGACAAAGTCATCTGAGAAGGTAGGAGATGGTATTCACCCCTCGAAACCATGCAGCTGATACAAAGCCAACACAACTTATCAAAACGGGGAAAATGAAGTATTTAATTTATTTGTAAGAATGTCACATATTCGGCAGGGCGCGATGGCTCACACCTATAATCCCAGCACTTTGGGAAGCCCAGGCAGGTGGATCACAAGGTCAGGAGTTTGAGACCAGCCTGGATAACATAGTGAAACCCTGTCTCTAGTAAAAATACAAAAATTAACTGGGCATGGTGACACACGCCTGTAATCCCAGCTACTCAGGAGGCTGCGACAGGAGAATTGCTTGCACCCAGGAGGTGGAGGTTGCAATGAGCCAAGATCACGCCATTGCACTCCAGCCTGGGTGACAGAGCAAGACTCCATCTTGAAAAAAAAAAAAAAAAAAGTTATAAAATCATGTCTAATTTACTATTACTGACACCAGCTTGCTAAGGCCTCTTGGAAAGTCATATCAGAAACAAACCATAAATTAAGAATTGTTTGATTTAGATCTAGGTTTTGTGAGGCAACTTTAAAGGCTGTAATGATGGGGAATTTGGGAACCTTTCAAATCTTATGGCGTCAACATTATATATTTGCAAAATATGAAAAAAAGATCATATAATTTTATATGATTTTATTTTTCATTTTAAAATAAAATATAAATTCAAACATATTAGAAATAAGTTACCTATAATAAACTAGCACATCTTAAGTCTTTTCATTTAAGTTAGAGAAGATATAGAGTTCAAAGGTTAGTGTGGTTTTAATTTATTTTTGTATTTCATGCATTGTAGACTGTCAAAATAAGTTTTCTGGAATTTCGAATTGAAAAACCCATTACTTATGTGCATTAGGTATATTTAACTTTTTGTAAACAATAGGCTAAGTCTAGAGAACATTTACTTGTTGGACTAAAGCACTATTTTTTCTTTTTTTTCCCACCTACTCCCTTTACATTCATATAAAATATTACATTGATAATAATTTTTCTTGTAAGTATGCTACTGGAGACTACATTTCTTATTAGTTTATAATTGCTTTTTTAAAATTTTGTAATTATTAATATTTTTCATTTTTTAGTTCTTATTA